GAAAGGTTTTTATTGAACATTGTAAAAATGGAACGTAATTGCTGCGTAATTCATGCATAATTATATCGTAGACGAATGTTCGTCGTTTACTGACCATATTTCCTAACCTGGCTACTCATGTCGCAATAGTTGGCATCCAATCATGATTCTTATGCTTGAATTTTTGTTTATATATATCACGAGATAAATAACTTCAAACTCGTAGACGAATATTAAATTTCAAGCTATCTGTGTGAACCATGTCGACTGTTTTCGTTTAGTCTTTCTTCGAATTTGCTTATTCTATAAAGATGACGCCATGAAAAATGCTCAATAGAAAAACGACTAAATCAATAAAAAAAAATCCAGCGTCATCTAACGTAATCCATTGTGACGTAACATTACAGAGTATGAATGCCACGGTCTCATTGATATGAAAAAAAGTGAAAGGAAATTGATATAAAAGAGTAGATCACTCAGATAGGCGTTTTTACTTGAAGCCACATTCAACCAATCGATTTTAATGAAAAACTTCCGACATGAGAGTTTGATTCAAACAATGATCTAATGCATAACAATCTGTTTCACGAATATGACAAATCGTCATCTGGTGAGCTAAGGGATAAGCAACTCATCAGCTATGCTACTGTTTTTAATCAGCTTTGAATGCATATGAGCTAGTCTCATATGAAGATATACTTATTCAGGAAATATACCATTACTGGCAAAAGATCGAATATTGTCGAAAAAAATTTTAACTTTTAATTTTTCTACTATCAATTCTGGCTTATTAAGATGATCTGCAACTGTTACATAACTATGACAGAACCAAAAGAAATTGGTCACCAGCGAGATAATCAAAATTAATAGTTCAGTTAATTCATATGAGATTGTCAAACGTCTAGTCGAACTTCAATTAAAGATGAAATAAATTTGTGTTATACGTTTATTCATATCATAAACTTCATCGAATTTTTCTTTCATACTGTCTAACATTTAAAATTACTTTCTCAAAAGTATTGGAACGTGTATCTAATCATTTCTCTAAAGCCTTCGATACATTAGAAGATTCACCTTTGAAAATTGTTTTTTTTTTCAAGAATTCCGTCCATAATAAGGTTGGCCGTAAATATCGATGTGGAAAATGGTCGAAAAGTGTTTTTAGAAAATTCCGACTAGCGAAGGCCATGCTTTATTATAATAGGATAATACTAAAATTCCAACAGAGATCAAGAATAAGTCAAGAGATAAAAACAAAGAAAAAAATGTATACAATGTCATTTAGCCATTGTAAATCATCAACAATCTAAAAATTTCATGGCATTTATAATACTGTCATAACATCGTTCACCAAGATTATCAATACGACGTTGAATTGCTATGAGCAAAATGTTCCCTTTTAGAATTTGAGTTATATAATAGTTCTTTATCGGATTCTTTTAGTTAATCTACATTAGGTATTACTCATCACTATTATAACTAGTTACAAATCTAGACCTAGTAAAATTATAACAAAAATAACAATGAACTTTATATGCCTAGAGTCATCATTTATTGAAGACGTGGCTTTTTTCCATATTTTTCCAGTACATCCATAATAATAAATAAGCTCAGAATGGACAATATTTTATTTTCTTCGTCATAGCGACACGTCAGTTCCAAGTGAGAAAAATTTTGAGAAACAATTGATAGGAAAGAATAATCGGTTGAGAAATGCGTTTCTTTATTGAAAACATATCGTGAAATCACTTCGGTGTTCTTTTACGGCATACAATAAAAATTCTTTAAATTTTCTATACAAACAAGACATTTACATGATCATAGGATCTAATTGATGCAGTGTACATTCGCACGAGTCACACATGAAGAGATCTTTCTTTAAAAAAAAACGAACATATTAAATAAAATCTCGTTGTGTATTAATTAAAAATTCTTTTTGCTCTGTCAGATTTTTCTGGAAACTCAGAAGCATTTTTATTTAAGAAAAAAAAAATAGTGCATTCGTAAGTGAAGCAAAAATACCTTCAGGCATCACGTCAAGGTGCATTCTACTTCGTAATCTTACTGAGCCTGATATTGCATTTCTTTGTATAGAATGATCTAAAGACATTTTTCGAAATAGAAACAAAAGAAAGCACTGACGATGTATTCAACCGTTGTGATTTTTCTATAAATAGTTTTTTCACAGATAATCGTATTCATTGAAGTTAGATCAACACTAATAACTTTGCTAGTGGTACATTTCACTGTAAATAAATTTCATTTATACTAATCAAATCCCACTGTAAAAAACTGATTTAAATAAATTCAACAACACAAAGTTTTAGTTCTTTTTTAGCTCTTGAGAAGGTCAAAGATAGCCAATAATGAATGTTATTCTTTAGAAAAAAAAAGAATGCTTTTTGACATTGTACCAAGATGTTAGAGTATGTTGATTGTATTGTTTTAAGTACATTCTTCTTCGTCAACAATTGTCTAGCTTTTTATCTGATTTTAAGCGTTGTGTAATAAACGTGTTTACTAACGGATGTATTCAGCAAAAATAAATTGGATAGAAGAATCGTCAACGAGACTAAAAATATGACTGTTTGGAAGTAGTTGATAAAAAAGAGCCTGAGTCTTCTAATATGCCGAAGCCATGATAAAATTCATTTAAGAAAATTTCAATTTCACAATCATACATATTAATTTCTTATAAAACTTTGAAGAAAACTAAACATATTAAAACGTCTAAATATCTATTCAATAAATTTTTAAAACATTCTATATTAAAAACAACTAGAATTATGTTTATTATTTCAATTAAACAGACAACATAAATAAAAATAAAATATAGTCCTAGATATAAATCATTTATGTTATATAAAAAGACATTTAGTTAATTTAACAATCGGTATACTTGGACATGAACTACCACTATTCCATGTTGAAGAAAAATGCATGGTAAGTAAATCATTTTGTATCCAAATAAATCTACTTATTGCTTTTATACCATGACGTTTTGTTCTTTGATCAACATCGTCTGCACTTAATATAATATCAATTAATAATTGTTCCAAATAACAAAATAAAGCATTCATATAAATATAATCGACATTAATTGATGCTGCACCACCTTTAGTTGTATGGATTTGACCAACTCTTGATAAATATTCAAGAAATGAATCATTCCATTCACGTTGTGTTAATACACGTTTTAAATAAACAGTTAACATATCTTTTCGAAATTCTGTTTGAACAGCATCTAATGTTATACCAAATTCTTTATTTGGTGTAAAATGTTCAAAACCATCATTACGTAAATGAAAAAAACGTTTTGTTACATCAAATGAAAATAACTTTCTATAAATTGAATCAATTGCCACTGGAAGAAGTGGAAATATAGTTGGGGCCAATGTATTAAGTGTTGTCACATCATCTTGACTAAAATCAATAAGTTTTGATAAAAAGTCGAAACGATAACGAAGATCGTTGTTAAGTCGAACTTTGTCTATGTGTTCAACCATCCGGATGGTAATATTAAAAAAAATGACATGTTTCCTTTTCTGTTTCATCTAAATATATATATATTCCATATGATGACATGAATGCTAATTCATGCGTAATTTACCTTTCCTTCATTGGTGAAAAAAAAAGAAAGGAAGACATTGTTTGCTTTTTTCAGATTTATTTATTTCAATGATGCGATTTAATAAAAAAAAAGATACTTACAATGGAATGAATGGTCGAGAAAAATAAAAGAAGATAAAAACTAAAGCAAAGCATCGAAAGAAAATCCTCTGATACTTTCCAAAAAAAAACCCTTGACAAGGTCATATTTAAAATGTCAGAAATATTGGAATTTAAAAAAAAAGTGCGCGCAGTTCATAATATATTTCTAGAATATGATTATAAATAATTTTTATGCAGAGCAAAGAAAAATTTATACATGATTCAACATCATATTTTTTATGAGAACAAAATACAGACTTGTGTATTATCTATTCTTTCATATTTCTTTTCAAATATGATGATAATTAATAAGTATATACAATGTATGAGAATGTTTTGAGGGTCTAAAATTATATATAAAAAGCTATGCGCAATTTTGAAAATTTGATTCTCAATTACGTTGATTTATTAAAACAAAGTTTATTTTCTACAAAATTGACATTTAATATGAGCAATAGTTCTGATATTTTTCACAAGCTATGCTCAAGGATTATAATAAAAAACATTAGTCATTTCTGGGTCATCAATACATTAGTCATGATTTCTTTTTTTTTGCTTTAAGTCGCTGTTTTCAATGCTACAATAATCAAAGGTAATTGCCTACTTCCTGATTTAGTGAAATAATAAACAATTTATTAGATATAGAAAAGAATCTATGCAACCAAGCATCAAAACCTTTGAACTTGTTTTTAGATTTGTTTAAACAACGCCTACATGCCAATCAAGGAATATATTTTCCAACGGCATAATTTTTGATGTTTCTCGTTCTGAATTTCAGTACAAACTATTATTTTCAAATAATTTTTCTGTTTAATACATTTTCTACAATTAAGATAATGAAAACAAATTATAACTATTTAGATCGAGACAAAGAATAACGGTATAAATAGAAAGCAGCGACAATATCTTGTCAGACACCGGAAAGTGCACTCCCAACTTATTTGCCATTTTACATTAATGAGACTGTCAGAAAAAATTAATGCTAAATCTACTGACGAGAATATTCTTCTTTATCATATTCCGGTACCCATAAAAAGTATAAAGTCTGAAAACAAAAAGTCAAACTATTCATCATATGATCAATTTTTTTGTTTGAAATTCAAAAAAACTAAAGTTACAATTTCATTTTAAAGTACGTTCTTTTCTCATTAATTATTCAATAAATACTTCAATTCAAATCAATACAATACTTTGACATAACTTAAAATAAATTAAAATCTAAATGAATTTTATCATATATATATATATATATTTGTCTCACTATAATTATACAAATTTAATATTTATTAAGCAAAATCTAATAAATACAATTAATTCAAATCATATTCATAATGCATTCGAAAAAAATCATTTTGAATCCAAAAAACTTTATTAATTGCCATAATACCTGCATGTTTTGTTTGATTATCAAGATTTTCTGATTGTAATATAATATTAATAAGATTTTGTTCAAGATATCCACATAAAGCAATGATATGAATAAAATCTACATGAATTAATGATGAACCAATTTTATCTGTATGTATTTTTGCAACATAAGATAAATATTGAAGAAATGATTCATTCCATTCATGTTGTGTTAATATACATTTTAAATATTTACTTAACATATTTTTTCGATATTCCATAGCATCAGAATTAAAACCAAGATTATATCGATCTGTTGATAAAAAATTATCCAAACACGTATGACGTAATAAAAGATATTGTTTAGTTATATCAAATGAAAATAATTTTCTATATACATTATCAACTATAACTGGTATAAGAGGTTGAATTATTGTTGATAATTTATTAAGTATTGTTATATCAGTTTGAGAAAAATCAAGAAATTTTGATATATATTCAAAACGATAACGAAGATCCGTAGTTAAACGAGTTTTATCAATATTTTCTGCCATTATATTAATAAGAAATAATATATCTTTGCTTTTCTTTGCTTAATAATATAAATGTTATGTTATACATAATTTTCTATTTTCTCTGTTGTATATCAACATATGTTAATGGAAGAAAAAGGATTTTGACAGTGTATTTATTAGTTTACAATTACGCGATGAGAAAATCTAAAGCAAAAAGAAATACTCAATCAACTGTGATCGAAAAGAATGCTCTTCTTCATGTTACGCTACTGGCTATATATTGAGAAATGAGTTTTTTGTTGCTGTTGTATGACTATTCATGTTTGGCATCTAATAGAAAAATCTTACAAGGTGATGTAGAGAGTTTTAGTAATATTGACTGGCATGAATAAGTATTGTTATATAATGACTAAAACTACAATAAGGTTTACATATACATACGTAGTAAGATATATTATTCTATTTTTAAAAGGTTAGGCGCTGGCTGCATATTTTCTGGTATCTGTTTTTTTCTTGTTTTATCATAACATAACGGTAATTCATTTTGTATATTTACATGTCAACGTTGTAACTCGGATCTGTGTCCAATCTAAAATTTGATGTGTATACGAATATGGATGCTAACATACACATATAGGCACTTTCTCTTAATTATATTATCAGTGTTATGTGTCACAGAATGCTCCCGGCTATCAATATAGCATAGGTACTTGGTATTATAGAATACTTATCAAAATCAACATTGAATTCAATATTTTTAAAGGGCACTCCGTCCCATTTTGTGATTCTAAATTGTTGTTCTTTTAATTTTTCATGGTCATTGCATAGTCTGAAGTAAAGATAGAATTTTATCAGGATTGAGATCACGAGAAAAAAAATTTACCGGAACCAGAACTCAAGTTTACAGCAAACTATCTTATAAATCATATGAATAATAATATTATTCAAAAGAGACGAACCAGAAAAGTGCTAGTCGACTGTTTCTCTAGACAGAAGTTAGGACAACACTAAATCTACCGAGACTATAACAGGAACTAAAAAACCTTGTGTCGTACATGTTTAGCCTGAAGTAGTATCTATCTATTGAGTAAATCTTAGAATCCAAAAATTGTCTTTAATTGTTAAAAAATTCGAGAAGAAATTAAATTTAGCCAAAAACTGTACATGGTTTTGTGTTTTTTTTCTAAATCAAGTTTTTCATGAAAAAAGTGCAAACATGCCTTTATATTAGGATATCTTCGATATTTTGCCTCGTTGATTTTGAAGGAGAAAAAGTAAAACGATATCCACTCCCAACAGTGTTTGTAAAAAATTTTCAGCTTGAGTAACCGTAACGTCTCGGAAAAACGGAAGTGAAAATCAAGACTATTATGATCTCAGTATCTCATAGAAGAAAATATCCGGAATGACATATTTCGCTCAACTCGTTAAGGTCTACTTTCCCTGAAAATTTTGAACTTTCTCTAATGAGCTATTCTTCAGAAACCTCAGAAAGGGGTGGAACTATTCTTAATAAGGAAAATTATATGAATCATTGTATTTAAATCAAATATATCCAAATAATAAGGTTAAAATTGGGTCAGAATATGAGTATATAATGTAAACTGTCGAGATATTAGTTTATTTTCAAGTAATATTTAAAAAAAATATATTACCGAATTTGAAGTATGATTGTGTTAAGTGAATAGATTAAATTGAATTGGTATGTATGCTTACTGCTATAAGATTCTATCGTAATTATAAATGATTCTAGTTGGATTTATATAGTCTTACATCTTTAATGCCAATTGAAAATAAATTGTGTCAGACTCATTCTCTTAGTGCTCGAACAGGCGAAGAAAAAGAAACGTTCAAAAGGTATTCTATCGTTCGGATTTATTTGTTAATGTAATATTTAACACAAAACAGAATGAACTTAATGTAAAGAGAAATCTTCGTCAATATTGAATTTTAATTCAAAATTATGAAAAAGTCTTAAATGATAGTCTCAATCAATTGAAATATCGAAAACAAAAACGGTTATATAGTCTATTTTTATTCAAGATTATATATTATAATAAAGAAAAACATTTTTCTTGTAGCTAAAGCTTAATAAATACTTTATGTGTAAAATCTCAGTAATATATCGATGTCTTTGTAGGTGTAGATAAAGAGATTAGATATACCTACAACAAATGCATCGAAATGTCACTGTGATTTTAAACATCAATTATTTATTAAGTTTTAGTTGCGAAAAAAATTCTTTCGTATTATTTTACATAATGAATCATAAAATGGTTGTATTCTAAATTAATTAACACATTATATCGTTGAGTGTAATTAATAAATTGAATACTTTTAAGATCATACTTGCTTCAGAAAAACGTTTTATGTGATTAAACTTCTCAAATATGTTTTTGTCTAGTGACCTTTTTATTGATACATTTTATCAGCATGAATAATCTGTCATTCAATGCACAAGAATATGACAATCATTTTGTCATTGATTAATACGATATAAATATATAATTTTGAGCTCAATCAAATATTATGTAAACAGTTTGAGATGCATAGTGAATGAAACATAGGCACGAGGAATGGGCCATCAAAAAAGAACAAAGACTGACAATATTCGTTATGTTGATGCATTTATTTACTTAACATCAAATAAAGAAATTCTATTGAAACTTAATTTGCAAGATTATCTATTGTGTAGTTCATTCCATCCTTATATCACGGGCGCAGGGGTGCAGAATCTGCCGGTGAAATAAAAATTTTCCCCCAACGGCAAAACTTTTCGAAAAATTTTCCCGCTGTAAACTTCAATTAAAGAAAAGAATGCTATTATTCAATATGATTTGTTTCACATAATCTAGTTACTTGCACTTTTTGTAAATGATTTAAANTTATAAATTAAATATCAATGCAATCTTTATGTTTACAAAATAAAGATAAAAAAATTCTTTACATTTATAAAATAAAGATGAATAAGTTCTGTGTTTTGGAAAAATAACGTAAAATAAATAAATAAATGTTTATTGCTTAAAAAATAAACATAAATGAATTTTTTATTTTTGAAAAATAAAGATAAAATAAATAATAAAGAAAAAAATTTTTTTTATATGACAGGTAAATCGACAAATACCTCGTATAATAGCAGGATATGTTGATTAATATTCTTTCTTATCTGCAGCATCACTTCGACATGTAAAATTATTTAAAAATTAAGCTGACACTTAAAAAGAAAATATGGAAAAAACTTTTCTGTATATTTCATTACTATCTATGGTATCATAACTTTTTTTGAGCTACTTGGTAAAAATTAAAGATTAGATTCTCATAGAAAAAAATTGCTTTATTATTTATTTTACACATAAAGAGATTTTATTTCTCTTTATTTTATAAATAACAAAAATATTTATTGATTTATTTAAATTTATTTTTCAAAACTAAAGAATTTATTCAGCTTTATTTTATAAACAAAAATATTTGATTTATATTTATTCCTTATTGTATAAATAAAAATAAAAATAAAGTAACACGTTTATTTGAATGATGAAAATGTATACTTGAATAAAATGCGTTTTTTTCTAAACTATACGAATTAAAAAAACACCGTTGCAACGCGTTTCCGAAAAACACTGTTTTTATTGATAAAAACGCGTTATTGAAAAATTTTTTCAGCTCATCCAAAATAACGCGTTTAAACGAGTTTTTTCAAAGCGGTATTTTAAGAAAACCGGCTTTTTTTGACGAACGCGTTTAAACGTGAAACTAGCATTCTTTTCTAAAAACGCTGCGTTGAAACGCATATTTTTTCCGAATCTTTTTTCATGGGTACTATGAACTGATTCAAATAAGGATATATTTAGCTTTGCTAGTTAACTCGAACATTTATCAGTAACTACAATTCATAAGATATTTTTTTAAGTATTAGAAACGTATCAGATGATTTATAAGTTCCCTATTTTCTCTCGTCAATCTTTGCATTAGTCGTAATATTTTAAAATATATTCACCCAACAATCTAATTCGTCAGTCATTTCAAATATGCAAATGGATAGAAAAAAAAAGATAATCTAAGGGTGTGGATGTGGGTCTGAATCTTTGAGCTGAAGACCACAATCACAACCACATCCAAACCATTTCTTCTTATGTCTAAATGATAAAATGAAATGTTGTATAAAATTTCAATGTTCAGAATCTAATTATAGTTTGATATCGAGTGTGTAGAAAATCAATTGCCTGACTATACAATGAGCAATAACGTGGACATTTGGCGAAAAAAATGAAAGTGATATTTTTCGTGATTTGAAGAATGTTCAATATAAATAATTTAGACAATGGCAGTTTTTTTCGTAAATTTTTTAAAATTTTAGCTCTTAAAGGCATGAGAAAAATTTGAGGCACAAAAAGAAAGCGTGCATTCTTCCTCAACAAAGAATTTTCCAAAAAGACTAATTTAGTATAGTGAGTGCATATACTTAATCACAGTTTCAAACTCGAAGAAACTTTCATGGAACGTTCTTCTCCGTTTCATACATCTATTCAGCGTAAAGATGCGTCAATGCTTCACAACTCAGAAGTTTAAAAAACAAGAACTCTGGATTTTCAGGATTTTCTTCTTTGCTTTTCTGAAAAACACTTTCAAACAAAACGAACAACATGTTCCAAGTCATCATAAAAAGACTGCATCGGGTTATGTATAACTCGTCAGGTTTTCAAATAATTTTTTTTACAAAAATTTATGGAAGTGGGGGGATGTTTCGCTCAGGGTTTTATTCTCGGTGTTAGGAACTTATATTTCTATGAAAAAAAATGCGATTCTGACATAAAATACGCCATGACAGTACTTAATGGATTATTTATCCTTTTGATTTACCTGCACGATTCTTGAGTAACTTGAAATTTCGTTTATTTGAGGGATACATGTTTTTGATGACCATACAATTAAAGTCTAAATTGATTAATTTTTTCTCTTAGTTAACTAATGCAGTTTCCATTTTGAAACATAATTATGACAAGGTAAAGCCGTTACTTGAAGAATTAGTTTCGATGGAACTCTTAATCAAATTGGACAATGGAGTTAAATCTGGTAAAAACAGCACAACGTTGTTTATCAAAGTTTTGCCAGAGACACAAAACATGCAGATGGTGGCAGAATTTGTTGAACACTATTTGGCAAAAGTACAAATACCTTGGGTCCAATATAGCGAGAGTTGTAAGAAGTTGATTTTGTCATCAGCAGCAGCGAAACTTTCCGAAGAGGCTAATGCTATTTTAAAATCTAAATCATATTCAAAGTAATTTCATTTCATAAAGCTATTATAGAAATCGTTATTTTTTGTTTACCTTTTTTTTCACAAGCTGTATTGAAGAACGTTTGGTGGCTTCAACATCATTGAAAAGGCCGATAGAATCAAATAATTCAACATCAATAAAAAAAAAACAAAAAAAAACAACAAAAATACGGCCTATGAACACACAAACAACAATACTGCAATATTTTAGTAAAATTACAAAAAAAATCGTTGCTCCACCTGCACCATGTTCAAAAGAAACTAACGTACTATCAAGATACGATGACGATTGTTCAATTATCTCATGCTTACCATTGTAAGTGTCGAAGAAAGTTTATTTTAAATATATCCTTGATTGTTTTATTACTTTCACCATAGACATGCTCAATCGAATACTAATGATAAAACTTCATCAGCACCACCAACAAATTCATTATCATCATCATCATCACACATACAAGCATCGACTATATCCTCATCTTGCTCATCATCTTCCACGGAATTAACATCAAAGTATTTCCGAAATCGTTTCATGCCTCGACCTATTCCACGAATTGCTCGCGTATCAAACTCTACACCACTTCAACGACTTCAGCAGCAACAAATATCTCATGAAAACGCACAGAACAATTCCTCATAATATTAAAGTAAAAAAAGAAGACGAATAGAAAAAAGCACTATGTAAATTATATTTTCATGTAGTTTTTTCCTGTCTTCTTTTTTTTAATGATTTTTTTCTGCTCAGCAGTGCATGATTTTACCTTTTACAGATTTTTACATTATTCTTATATATTTCATTTTTTTTATGTGCATTTTATTTAATTTCTTTGTCCTCGTTCTTGGTCTAATTTTTAAACTACGTTGAATTTGAATTATTTACCTCATTTTTTATTTTTTATTAATATTACTACTTTGCTTAAGAAGGTTAAAAACAACAGATTAGTATAATGAGCCTAAAGAAGACATGGGGATGCCACATTTCAGCCCTAGAAGGGCTGTGCTAACAAGCTTTTTTTCTACTGTTTTCGATGATTTTATGATAGATCAAAAGATTTATGTGTCATAAGAAAGTTTTTGATATAGAAAAAAAATATTAGGAACTCGGTCCTTAGAAGACCATCGAGCATCGTCTATGACTCAGATATTGATTTCTAAAGTATACTAGAGGCTAAAGAAGATTTATCTATGCTCTTTTTAAAAGGTTTTTGATTCCCGAATCTTCAATCGTTTGTTTTTAGAATATCTAATTTTTCAACCATTACTATGGACACTGATCTGTCTGTGCTTAATCGGGACGAGGTGCAAACATTTGTTAACTTGGCATTAGAGCCGCCGTTTTCTCTTCCAATGCTTGATTTTGTAAACTGTGTCGATCATGCTCTACCATCATTACTACCTGATCGTATGACACATATTGCCGAAATCACTCACCAAGCATTTGGAGTTTATGTAGAACCGTATCGGCTGCTTGATAAGCTCAGTGTGATGAAAAAAAAAACAACCGACGGTAGTTATATCTTCAAACACAACAAAGATTTAAAGGAAGAACTATTAAAATATTCGTCGAACACATTAAATCTTTCAAAACTACCAAAGTCAACACCTTTCTGCTTACCAATTTGCATCGAGCCCACCTCGAGTCAATGTCCACAGTACGTTGATTCTGCTCTCTGAAAGCTTATTTTACAGTTATATTTTCTTATTAGATGTGATACTCAGTTTGATGCTCGATCTGCAAATTTAAAAAATGTTCGTCTATATTTAGCAAATGGAACAGTTACGAATGCGACAATCGTTAGTTATTCGTGCAAGTCTCCCTTCTGCTTTCTTGTACTGCATCCGCATTTCATAACATGTTTGTCAAATGATGAATCATCTTACTGTTTCACTACGGCAAAGTATTTTTCGTATGGAACCAATATATATTTAGGTGGCCAGACTGCTTTTGAAAAAACAATATTTAGGCAATATTCAAGTCTATTTGCGTGAGTTAATTTCATTATTTAGGGTGAAAATGAAATATATTCTTTCGTTCCGCCCATGATCATTTCGAGAAATATTGGAACAAAACTTTATACAGAAAATAGATGTGTCAACTGACCAGTGAGGCAAAAACAATGAGACACTTTTTTTTTCTATCTTTACAACACTTAACAATCGGTTCAAAATCTGTTTCTGAGTTCATTCAATAAATAATTCATTTTTCTGCAACACTGTTGAATACATTTTTCAAATAAGTCTGTCTAGTAGACACCAAATTTAAACGCTTCACATCTACTCAATGATTCATCTGCGAGGACAATAAAAAAATGAAAAAAAATGTATGGAAGTATTTTTAAATAATTTTGGTGAAATTTCAAGTGTACTACGAAATTTTATATCGAATTCTGTATCTTTTGATGTAATTTTAAAAATTTTAGAATATAAATTTAAGACGAAAAGTTTTGAATAAGAACATATGGAAACTCCAAAAAAGCTTCTATCGGACAAGTTTATAATTTTGTCCTCTTCCAATTCGGAATAGTCAGAATTGTTTAACTGTTCAAGTAACAATTTGTACCTATTAGGTCAGAATTAAATTCTGTATACAACGGCATGAGAAACAACATTTCATACGACTAGTCTTTCTTTGAAAAACATTATTTTTTGAAATACGTCCAAAAATTCCATCAGTTGTTAGTTCGAAGCCTTTTTCTCATAAACAAGAGAACCAAGAAACTTGAAAAGGTCGTGAAAATATAGAGTACAAAGTGATTCATCTATTGATACTAAATACTCTAGTTTGAGAATCGATCTTGATGAGCGCAGTCTTAAACAAATCGATTGATATCAGGAAAAAATACAAATTCGGATAAGATCTATTGAGTAGATGTTAATCTTTGAAATTTTGCGTCAATTAGAAGGATAAACTTTAAAAAACAGCTCGACACTGTTTTAGAAAAATAAATTCTCTATCGGATGAGTTCAGCAACAGATTTGAAAACGATTGTTAAGTGTTTAAAAGATAGAAAACCAAAATAGACTATGATTTTTCTTTCATCTGTCATTTCTCCTTTATTAAAAGAATTTCTCACCCATGCAGTCAGAAATATGAGATTGACGCGTTACAACAGTTTCTTTTTTCATTTATTCAAAGCGTTTTAACAGCGCACCTTTTTGTCATTTAAAACGTATTATAACACTATTTTGAAAAATACGTTTTAACGCGTTTTCATCGAAAACGCGTTATAACTCGTAATTTCGGACATTTTTGACTCCGTATAATGCCTTTCAATGTAGACCAATTTACTTCGTTCATAGAAACAGTGCATTGAAACTAACGAAGAATAAATATAATCCACATACCTTAATATTACAAGCAATATTAAAATACAGTATTTATTAGTAAACAAGATATTTCAGACAACATTGATTCGAAGAACGTCGGGAATTAAAGAGCATACAACAATAGTGTAGTTTCATTTCTTTTTAGAGTATAGATTCATGTCCATGCAAATTTACATATCGAGTAATAGTTTTCTAGCGAATGTTTTCGTATACTTTATTTTATCGTTCAAATAATAAAATTCATTTAGAAGAAAAACTAATTCAAGTGTTGAGGATCTGATCTATTATAAATTTGACGTGTCAGATATTTCTTATTCACTAGGAGAGGTTTTTTCATTATTTGGAAGATAAAATAAAACATACAAAAAAAATTCACTAGAAAGCTATTACTTTATTATTTACATTTACATGGTCATGAATCAATTCCTTGAAAAGAAATGGAACTACACTACTGTTGTATGCCCTTTAACTTTTCATTTTCTTCGAATTGATGTTATCTCGTATCTTTTATTCACTAGTAAATATTATATTTAAACATTGTCTCTCATATGCAAGTATGTGGGTTATATCTTTTCTTCTATAGTTTAAGTCACAGTTCTTATGTATTGGTTCCATTTAGAAAGTTTTTCGAAATTAAATATTGAAATAGAAAAAATGAAGTGCACTTCGTAAACTATATTTCTCTATAAGCACTATTCACTTAAATATATAACACAATGAATCAAGTACCTAATATTGAAGTTTCTTTTTTTGCTATCCAAAACATATTTGATTATGACATTTCATGTTTAACAAGTTTAAATATCATTTCGATGGCAAAAATCACTAAGAAATCAAAATATTCCTATCAAAGAGGAAACTAATAAAGAAATGACTGAATGATTTTTTAATATTTTATCTATGTCATGAATTATTCTCATGTTTACTTTTCTTTTAGTAGCGAGTTTTTTTATGAAGATTTCATAGATTCATAGTAAAGTTTTTTATGAGTATTATTTTTTTTCGAGATTAATTTGAATTAAATTTTAGTCGGTGGATACTTTTATTGTTGAAATAATATACAATTATTTCAACAAGAATAGAGATCTAACTGAGAAAGACTGAAAGAAAATATGTAAATCTGGAGTGATTTTCGTGATTAAAAATAATATTCCTGATTTTGAAAAAGAGATTTATTTGACTAACGTGACTTAGTTGTTGTTGAGAAGATCGACACACGAAAACTATATTTTAAGCAGAGAATCGACTAAATAAAAAAAAACGGATTCGAACATGTATTATAGAATATTTAATTAAGACTCTTTTATAAACTTATATGCTTGGGAATAAATAGAATGACGCATATCGATTCAATAAGATCTTGTTCGCACTACAAAATTGAATTATTTTAATTACGTTTTTAATTCCTCTCTCGTTCCCACCAAACAGTTAAGTCAGTAATGAGAATGGAAGATATGCCTCTCTGATGTAGACAAAGTGCGTAATAAGAAATATCAGTGGAATGAGAGATGCCTCCCTTGTACGTTTACGATTTTTATCAAAGGGTTACTGAGTACGTTTTCACAGTTGTAAAATCTATTGAACAAATTTTTAATAACAATTAATCTAATATTTTTAATGAAAATCAGACAGACTCTTAATATCAGTAATTTCACCAACTCCTGTAGAAGGATGTAGAGAAGCAAAAAAGGTAGGGGTGAAGGATATTACGAAACTTTTTCAGAGCTAAAAAGGTATATGTACAATTTTTGCAAAGATGAGAGAGAATGCTGATATATATTTTGGAAATTTTATGATCTTCTTTTAATAAAACATACAACTTTTGCTGAAAAATATTGAAGTTTTATTTTTTCTTTCCACATGCATACATATGTATATGTCTCAATGAAAAACTTAACATGTATGAGATGTCGAAAGTGTTTTTCTTATTGTCGAAATGATATGACATTTCGTTGATGCATTAACGTTAAGTCATCGCGAAAAGATGGCTTAACTCTGTTTCAAGTTTTCTGACAATCCCATTGGTTAATTGAGCGTTATTTTCGGTAGTGTGGACAGGGCCTTCGAAACAATAGGAATTACTGAATAGTTATGATTGTTACTCTTTATCTTGTAGTAACAACAAAAGAAAAAAAATGTAATACTACTAGTTTAGCGCTATCAACAACACGATAGGATAAATAGATAATTTTGTGAAAAAGTCTTCTTTTATCCAAGTTCAAACGCATTGTTATTAGAAAAAAAAATAGTAAACGAGTTTAAACGATATGTCTCTTCGTTAATTCTGATTGATATATATAAAAATGCATTATAAAGCATCAAATCATTATAATTTGCCTATGAAATGAATTAAAGCCTATGTATAGAAGAATAAACGCGTTCAATCTTTTTTTGATTCATCATATTAAGGAGTTATAATTCGTTTTCTATCTTCATTTTTTTGTCGAAACGAGTTGTAATATAATTTTGGCGTTTATTCGTCTGCATCGGTTTAAATGAGTCTCTAGCTTTCAGTTCGAGTAGCTGTCTGTATTCTATACCATATTTTCAAATCAAACTTGAGCAATGGAAAAAGATTTACAAAAAAATCATTTTGGTTGTTTTTCACAATGGATTAGAATAGATAGAACAATTTCAATCAACAGATTAAATCATTGGTTGGTAAAAGACAACAAATGAACTTATGGAGTATACAATGCACAGGTCAAAATGAATACTGCTTAGTAGACTGTCATGCCAAAATTCTCGAGGAATTTCGATGATGTTGAGCTTTAAATAATGCACAATTTAATTTTTTTTCAAGCATGGTATTACAAATGTCACTTGTTTCGATTACATCTCAAAATGAACTTTTGAAGAAGACTTTTAACACTCGATCTTTTGAGCATTTTAGTTGATTTATGTAAATGAAATATTTTTCGACTCTCACTATTGTGTAAATCAAGGAACACACCTACTGAATGTCGAAGAATATTTTTTTTTAAATAACTTTGTTTCAACTTTTACTGGTCAACTACACGTAGAATCTGTTTTGTTTTCTTGCTAAGAAAGAGAAAAGCTGTTCAACTAATATAGATTTTAGAAACATGGCTGATGAATAAAAATGATCTTAAGAAATAGAGCATTTATTTTGTCTAATACAATTCTTGTCATCAATTAGTTGGTCAAGAAAGATGATTTATCATTTCCAATTGCTTTTATATTTATTAAAAAGCAAGCAGATAATAGACTTCTATTTCCCATTTGAACTATTGTTAAAATCAGCTCACATGAACGCTACAGGTCACTTCTCATCTGGATGTTTTCGGCATTTTGAACAGTTGCCAATGATCGTTTTAATATACAAACGTCGTTGACTTTGACTTCGGACATTTTTCATTGTCTACTTTCTTTCTTGAGTTTTTGATAATGGCTGTTGATCTTGTTCTTACTCCCCTCTGATTTTAACCATCGTTAAAGCATATTTTTTATTTGAATTCTGTGTTTTTCATTAAGAAAAACAAAACTTTATTGCATGAAGAATGAGGATCAAATTCTAATCAACTAAAAAAGAAGAAAACAGACAATTTAAAAAATATAAACTGAACAACAATGAATACGGTCGTTCATTGAATATTTTGAGAATAGACATTCATTTATTCATCATGGATCAAGTTAATGACGAATGTTGTCTTCGTCTCATAATTACACAATGACTAGAATGAGTTTTTCATAATTCAACTTCAACAACAATACGAACTACAAAACGAAAGAGCGACTACACATAGTAAAGAAAAAATTAAAAGGTCAGAGAGTATCATGGTTGAAGTTTTGCTTTACAGTGCCCAACATTGTTCATTCGCGAGAAGGTCCCTGTTATTATTGCGTACGGTCGCACTCGTTTCAACATGTAAGAACGAATATATATATATATATATTCGTTTTTCAAAATAAATAATTCATCAATTTCAACAAATGGGTAAAGATTCAGTAGAAATCATGACATTCTAAGTTATTTCTGGAATGAATCCTCTTATTCTTTGTTAACACGAGAACATGTAATGATACATTTTCGAACATAACCATGATCTTTTTCAACATTGAAACAAGAGAGTTTACTTTAAGGTATTGAAAAATTTGTCTATCTACTTGACAAAAATGTTCTACATCACAGCTATTTGAGAAACAGCATATACTATTGAAAACTACTTTTTTTTAAGAAAGGGTCGGCAAGAAAATCAAGCATTCTACTAGAGAGGCATAACATGTTCAAAATCAAATTTGTATTTAACTGTATGCATTCAATCGCTCATGTCGAGAAAAGTCTATAGCCAAAATTTTAGATCGTACGAATGATTTATCACCGAAATATGAGATTTTCAAAATATGAATTATTCTCAACAATTAGACAGCTCATATCTGCGATCTTTCTCGGTCATTTCCAAAATCAACTGTTTTCAACAACGTCTCATTCGAAAGAAGAAAGAGAACTGAACGCGTTTGGGTACTTTTCTAGAGTAATTAAATGTTTCACAAACTTGAATTTGAAAAACTGAATTTCAATGGATACCGCCATGCTAAACTTTCTAGACTTAAGATTTTATAAGTGTACCTTGTAGAGAATTTTTTTTATCTGCAAGTGTACTTTTAAAAGGTCAGTAAAGTGCTTAGAAATCCTAGATACTGATAATGACTAATTACTAAAAATATCCACATAACATTCAATGTAAAAGTAATTGCATACATGTCGAACCTTGTTAGATCATGTTCTCGAATTTAATTTAAATACATTTTATTTTGTTGGAAACAGACATTTTCAGACTAAAAATTGTGTATCAAGCATTTTTTTTTCAAGACGAATCTGGAAAAGAAGAAAAGCTGAAAACTAGACGCAACTAAAAACGTTATTGCAATATCAGCTTTATGTGAAACTCACATATATTTTCGAAGAAAATAGTGAGTGTAAGTTTTAAGTTGAAGTTCTATTGCTTCTCCTCCCTCATTGCAGACCTTAACGACCAAAGTTAAAGGTCATTGCACATATTTTTTTATATGAAACATGTGAGTTCCACATTTCAAGCCAAAAGGAGCTGCACTAACAAGCTTTTTTTAACCTATTCACCCTATAAAGAAAATTTTTTAAATTAAGCTCTTATAATTTACTCATCAAGATTTTCAACGATCAAAAAGAAGAATCAACAGGCGATAATTTGATTATTTACATTTATTTTTTTTACTTGAAAACAGAAGACTAGCGACCTCTATAGGATCCTATTAGTGCCCAATGCAGAAGAACATAATTATTCCCATTTATCAATAAATTTAACATCAACAACAGTTACAATTAAATCTCTTTCAGAATCATCGACAAATGATGATATGAAATTGAAAATTCCACAAATTGATGCATTAAGTAAACAATTACCTAAACATCCTGTACAATTTACAGTTGAAGATTTATGTGCTCATCTTAAATCAATTATATATAAAATTATTGCTGGTGAAGATTCACATTCATTTCGATAACCAGTCGATTGTATTGCACTTGATATTCTTGATTATCCAGCTATAATTAAACATCCAATGGATATATCAATCATACGTAATAAATTATTACAACGGAAAATATAAAACTTCATGACAATGTTGTGATGATCCTTGGCTGATGTTTATTAATGCATGACTTTATAATAAAAAAACCGCACGTGTTTATTAAATGTGTACAAAATTATTCGAAATATTTGCTGAAACTATTGGTCCTGTTGTACAAGTCTTAAATTATTGTTGTGGTTGACAATATGTATATTTAGCACAAGTTATGCTTTGTTATCATAATCAATTATGTTGCCAAATACTACGTGATGCTTATTATTATTATAACAATCCAGAATCATCACGAATAAATTTATCTGATGATAAACATACATTTTGTGTTAAATGTTTTGATTCTATTAAAAGTAAATCAATATTTGTCGATGACGATCCAGTTCAAACATTAGTTGAAATATCTAAAAATTTATTTCTATCAGATATAAATGATATACAAAAAGCTGAAACAATGATTGAATGTATTATTGTATATATCGTTGACTTCAAGTATGTGCATTACAATTAAATCAAATATGACCTGAAAGTTTTATATGTGGCACATGTATTCGTGAATATAATATAAAATATTTAAAAAATCGTTATATAGTACCAAAATTAACAATAACTTCTTTAGCATAATGATTAGAAAAACGTATTAATGAGTTTTTTACATAATGAAGATTGTCATACAGGTTGTGCTACAATTCATCTATTAGCAGCAAGTGATAAAATATGTAAAGTAAAACCATATTTGCAAAAAATACTATCCAAATTATGTATTAGATGGTTATTCATATTGAACAAAAACTATATTTACTTTGAAAGAAGTTGAAGGTGTTGATAGTTTTGTTTGATATACATGTACAAGAATATGATGGTTATTGTCAAGCATCAAATACACAACGTGTTTATATATCTTATTTGAATTCAGTACATTTTTTTTCGATCAAAATTTTGTCGTAAAGATATTTATCATGGAATATTAATTGATTATTTGGATTTTGCTAAACAACTTGAACATATTTATGTGCATATATATATATAAGCATGTCCACCAAGTGAAGATGATGATTATATATTTCATTGTCACCCACCTGACAACGTGCACCGAAATCAAAACGTTTACAAGATTGGTATAAAAAAATGGTTGATAGAACTATTCTTGAACGTATTGTTTTTGATTATAAGGTAAAGATTTTATTATAAAAACCTTTTTTTAATTAAAAAATTTGCTAATATAAACAAAAAAAAGCATTTGATAAAACCTATGAGATAAATTATTAAAATACTTGTGGATCGTATTTTTTGATAGATACTTGCACGGGTAGTCAATCGAAAAGAAACACAAGGCTCTCAGAAGGTTTTTCTTCTATAGAACCTAAAAATTGTGTGCTGCTCCCTTTGGATCTCAATGATTTTTTTTTGTTGCATAGTGTTCTAATAAAAATCCTAAAAAGATTTGGGTTCGCTGAGTTATCGAATTTTGATTTCAAACTTTGTGGATATTTAGAGAATTCAACTAAGATCAACAGGAGCCCAAATCTTGTTAGAATTTTTATTAGAAAACTATTCCGCAAAAAAAGTTCTGAAATCGAAAGGGAACAACTGAAATTTTCACAGTCAGCAGCAGTCTGGAATAGCCGGAGTTTTTGAGTAAATTTGAATATATTTTTTTTGCCAAAATGATCAGTGCAACGTTCTGTAGACGAAAAAATCTTCTAAAAACTTTTGTGTTTTTTGCGGTTGACTATACATCGAAATATTTATCAAAAACACGATTTGCAAGTATTTTGTCGTTAGTAACTTTGTAAATTTGGATAAAAAAAACTTCGTTGTCGCAATAGAAGATCTTGTCGAAGTGTAAAAAGCTTGAAGAGGGAACGTGTTCTATTGTGGTCAATATATCTTTTTTAATTTATAATTAAAATTTTTTTCAGAAAAACAAAGCAACTCTGCTGATTTAACCAGTGATTTGTAGAAGCTTAAAAATAATGTTGGCTTCAGGTTTTTAAGGTTTTTAGTTCGAAACCCTAAAACTTAGACATATTTTTATGTACAATAATGGATAAAAATCTTTGCCCCAGCCGATCACAACCATTGTAAATTGGCATTGCGGCGTCATTATTTCTTAATTATAAAGAGCTATCATAGATGGCATCCCTTTTTTTTTTGCTCTGAGTAGTATAACGTAATAGAAAAGGCTGTCTACAAAATTTTGCGCTATTTGTTACTACAAATGTGACTACTTCTTAGTGTTTTTACATATAGCTGAAGCTTCGTCTATGGTCTTTCTTCAGCTAAAATCTTTAATACAAGATTCACTTTTGAAACTTGTGCATAATAAAATCGAACTGTAGAGGAAGTTTGTCAAAAAGATTGAACTCATTTCATTGAACTATCGCTGATGTATTGACGTCCAAACGGTAGTAGGTGTTTTCTATCGACAACAATAAGCAGTCTTTGAAAGGATTAATGAACTTGAACGAAATTATTAATATAAATAGCTGGTAAATAGCATTACATATTGAGAAGTCGGCTGAAACAGAATACTCATCCTTTCCAGATTTATGAGACTGACAACAACAATAAGTGCTGTCTATCATAATTCTCTTTTTTTCATGAAGCAATAATAGCGTCGCAATGTCAATAACCTACATATTTGATGAAGTACATGTACACACATTTTCAAACTTCCAGCGAATTTAATGACCGAGATCGGCTGGGATGGAAACTGTTCTCTACTATTATAAATATCCTCATTAAAGTTCGAATTTTTTGAAAACTCAATTAATTAAGGACATTGTTGTATCAAAATTTTCTCTTTCGGAGAGGCGATTTAAAACTCCGGGGGGACCAACCTGATCTGCTGAAAAGCGTCGATCTCTCAGCTTTTACGCTAGATAAAAAATTGATTCAGATATAGTCTTCTATTGTTAAGAGAGATTTAGTTATCATTTCTAAATTTGGAATTAGATTCAGAATATTTATTTGAATGTTATATTTTATTTTTATTAATTTAGGATATTATGAGAGATTGCTTGGATAATCAAGTACAAACTGCTCTTTATATTCTATATTTTGAAGGTGATTTTCGGCATATATTATACAAGAAAGTATTAAAAGTACGTTTTATTATTTTAAGAACTTGATCAAGAAGAAGAAGATCGAAGGAAACAAAGAGTTGAAGTAGCACAAGCACTGGAAGATAGAGGTTTAGATGATCCTATTGAGCCAGAACATGAAACAGTAGTCAGTAGAAATATTGTTTTTTATTATGTTTCTATTTTATAGACAAAATTAAAATTCTAATATTAACTAGATATTCATCAGTCAAAACTAATGTTCTAGTTTCACTGGGACAAAATTAAAATTCAATTAGAGATAAATTCATACAATCACGTACTTTACTAAAAGTAGAACGAAATGAAATATCGTGCTGATAAGCAGTTTAAATGTACGTAGATATACGTGTTACAATCTAATTTAAAAAAATGTCCGAATCGGATTTAACAATCGGTCGCACTTGCTATTATCCAAGCTACTGCGTTATAAAACAACGTTCGTTTAAAAAAATGAGAGTTTTAAACTAGAAAAATGCCATTCAAAACAAGGTTGTTGAATGAGAAAAGAAAAATTAGTTATTCTATTGTATGAATTTATCTTTAGTCGAATTTTTGTTTTGCCTAGACAAAACTGAAACTTCAGCTCTAACTGATAAATGTTTAGTTAATATTAGAATTTCAATTTTGGGTACAATATATACATATATATATTCGTCTTATTTTAGTGTAGATTTCTGATAAACGTAAATCTCCGAATATATATAAAAGAAAAAACTTGCAGAAAACAACTTCAAATCAACGAAAATTAGCAAAAAAAAAGAAATGTCAAATTGTAGTGATTTAATATCTAAAATATTTACAACTATGGGAAAACCACAAAGATGTGAATTATTAATAATAAATTAACTAAAACAATATTTTTCTATTCTGAAGTTAGTCAACGAGTAATCAAGAATTCACATTTTTACTAAAGAATTGTATACGATCACGGAAGCAAACAGCAGACCTCATATAACTAGATGGTACATAGGCTCGTGCTGCGAAGCGTATCCCCAAATTAAACTCATAGTTGAAGAGATTACAAAACTTTCAATATAGCTAAGGTGATTATAAGATTTTTGACTCCTAAACAGGATATGTGTAAGCTTCTAGAGGAAAACTTTTTCTACCAAATGGCGTATGTACTATCAAGTAGAAGAAGTGTTACTGTACAAATCTAAACACATCCCATTATGGGAGTTAAAAACTACTACGAAATCTATGGTGTCCTTTAACGAAAAAACATATTTCTATGTATTGTAGAAAGTCGAACGATGAGTTTAATGCATGTTTCGTTCTATACACTACAGACTGATTTTTCATGAATACGCCGGTTTTTGTACTAATTGAAAATCAATAAATGCTAAATTTAAAAGAACACATGAAATTTACGATACTTTAGTGCACGAGAGTTCTTCATTAAGTTTTCATTAATCTTTTTTTTTAAATCCCCAATTCGTTCTGATATTCTATCGATCATGATGTTTAATAAAAAGTGTTCTTGCTAAGATATTTATATTTCAAAGAAACGTCTGTTTTCGATTATGTTTCAAAACAAGGATGTTTCTATGATACAATAATATCTCGATACAGATATGTTTATCCTAGCTCAAATTTTTGTACTATTTCTAGTAACTTGTAAGGCCTATCTATGGACAAAATTTCAGTTCAAAATTTTTCAATGATTCTATGCTCATAGAACAGAAACCGAGTAATATACGCATAGTTCAACCAGCGAAAATCAGAAAACCAAATCAAAAACAGACTTTTTTTAATTAAACATCATGATTGATAGAATGGCAATAGTCTCAAACGAAAATCTTACGACTCTCCAAGCTTTAAGTCATTGTGATACAAAATAGCAAATTTTGAATTATGTGTTGAGAAAAAAAAACTCGCGGCCGTTTACTGTAATGTCATTAGACTTAAAAAATTTCACGTGATTTTAAAGATGATTATTAGTTTGTTGTTCTTTCACAAATATGGAGAGGAGTTAAAATAGCTTGACACTTTGAAATGATCGAAAGTAAACAAGATATCTGCCTTATAGAAACCTTGATTTCATATTAAAATATTTATATGATCGACTTTCGATATCTTAATCATATTACAAACTACATCTGTAAAACTCATTAGCTATTTGCAATCTATAAGAACATCACTAATTATAAAATGTGTTCTCAAAAACAAATTTTTTTTTATCGATCTATATGTCTTTAGGCATTCTTTGTTATTCGTCTTCATAATCCAATTGCATCATGAGCCAGTTGTAAATGATACCAATGCTCTTATGCAATGCATTCTAATGAATATGCAAGATGTATTTTTTTGAATTTTGCTCATCATAAACATTCATTATGAATTTTCATCATTATGTCGTGCAAAATTTTCTACAATGGCTTTATTATATGAACTACATACATCAACAACAACAGATAAATTTACATATAATTGTGATACATGTTAACAACAATATTATATACGTTATCATTGTACAGTATGTGAAGATTTTGATTTATGTGAAAAATTTTATAATATTGAACGAATGTTCTATTCCATCAATAGTTGAAGATTTTGATCAAAATTCTTCAAATTCAAATGGTAAGTCTATAGCTAGTTCACAATGAGTCTTATTCCCAATTGGCTTGTTGGCCACGAACATGCATAGAAAGTGGTTACACACAAACTCATGTATTGGTTTGGGCAGTCTTTTCTTTGATCTATCTTCGTTCTTTTAATCGATTTGTTTGATGCAAACAAATTGATTAAAAAAAAAAGAAAGATAGATCAAAGGAAAGATCGCCCATAGCAACACATGATTTCGTGTTTGGTCACTTTCTATGCATGTTCGTAGTCAACAAGCGAATTGGAAATTAGGCTTATTACAACGTCAACAATTCATGCAGCGTTGTATTGAAGCAGTATCACATATTGCTAATTGTCAAAATGCCATTGTGTTAATCTTAGTTGTTTTCGTTATAAGCGTGTTAGACGGAATCTTGAAAGATGTGAACGGCGAAAGTTGCGCACGAAATAACGATATATAGTTGTTACTCCGAAAGATAATTACAAAAAAAAATACAACAGGAAATATATATCGAGGATAGTTCAAATTAGGCTTAATAGGAACAGCGTTGAGATGGGTTGCCAGCAGATATGTAATTTTGTTGTTCGATATTAGAGTAGCTTTTTCTCAATAATATGCAAACATGTTCTCTACAATCAGATTCACTTCTATTGGGAGAGATCGACTGTAATGATATTAGATGGTTATTCATACATTTGAGGTCGTCAAACCAACGAGCACCCTTACTAGTGTTTTAAAGCTCATTAAAAATATGACGATCAAAACGGCATGTGTACAAGTAATTTTGAAAACAATATAAAAGTTTTTATTGCTCCCGTTGTATCTTTTTTAATTATCTTTCGAAGTAAAAACTATATATCGTTATTCCGTGTGTAACTTTCGGTGCGCATCGGTCGTATATTCTGTTATACAACATACAAAAGAATGTAAAAGAAAACAAAATAGCCAATGTAATATATGTAAATAAGTTATATTTCTTTGTTGATATCATGTTAAAAATTATATAGATCAAAGTTGTCAAATTTCGTTTTGTATTAATTTAAAATCTAAAATACAGAAACAACGAGCGACTAGTTCACACTCAGATATAATGCCGTATGGAAGCTATAATTGCAGTAAAAAACAAGTACAGTGCAATTATAGTTACAACCATAACTGCAATCACCGTCACAAAGAAAAGTAATTTTTTTTAGAAATTTTGAGGATTCAAGAAAAATTTCAACCTGACAGACGCTAGAAGTACTCCAACTGATAAACTGCTTTTGGGTTCACACAATTTGCATCATGTAGACTGAAATAAATTTTGAATTTTCTGAAAAGATTTCCAACTCTTATCTTATTGTTGCATAGATACTGCAAATTTAGGAAAGTTTGTAAATGAATACCGTAGTCTCCCTTAGGAAAGCTGATTTTCGAATTTTAACCATAGAATCTCCCGTTATATATGAGTGATGTAATAAATATTTGCAAGAAACTATTGTCATTAAGAACTATCTTTGTGCAGAGTCTCAAGCAGAAATTCCAAAATCAATTTATCCGATGTTTGTGAAGAGGACCACGGCTTTCATTTAAAAATCAATGTAAAAATCTAATATTTCGGCAACATTAAGCTAAACACCTGAACTGTTTTTAAGGTATTCATAGTTTGTTTGGTTTTACTTAATGCACATAGTTTTGACTCACAAGCGATTTCGCGTAACTCGCATATGTTTTCGAAGAAAATAATGAGTGTAAGTTTTAAGTCGAAGCTTTCCGGCTTTCCATCCCCTCCCCATTACAGACACTGAGCAAAGACTTATCGTATTTTAGAGATTTTACAATTAGGGTATTTTGTATTAGAATAATGAAGCTAACAAAGACATGTGAGTGTCAAAGTTCAGCCCTGAAGGAGCTGCGCTAATAATCTTTAGTTTATCGACATTTTTAGCGCAAGAGAATGAGAAAAGCACGTTTAATAATGATTTTTCAAGCAGCAAGAATGCTATTTTCACTGATTTATTGGAAATTAAATTTGTTCTTGTTTTCGTTTTATACTAAAATATATATTTTAAAAAAAGATTGACAAATTTGATCGTTTTGCAACGGTAAAAGAATATTCTTTGAATTTATTTTTTGTTCAGTTATTAAGACCTGATATATTTTACAAACAAATAATACTAAAAAGTTGTGTTCTTGAATGGCCTTTGGCAATAATAGCTAATATTCTTGCTAACTGACAGTTCTTAGTAAAAATTCTATTTTTAAAAATCTCCTCTCTCACGTCTTTTGATTGAAAAGTCAAGAAATAGTCTAAAAACATTAAACAAAGCTAATGCGATAGTGTTTGATGCCCTATGTTTTGGTCAATTATTTGTTTATCGATAATATTCAAGAAAATACAGACTTTTATAAGTTGCAAGAACTTTTAGGCGTCTGACTTTAGATTTTTCTTTTTGTTCAAATTAGCTCAGAAAAACACATTTGTCATGAAGTTTGTAGTTTGGACATTACTTTATCAAAAAACATAAAGTTTCATTGAACTTTTTTGTCTCGGCAACATAGTCTAACAAAGTTTGACATTTATGTCAATAATTTTGCATCGTATATTATTCGACTACTTAAAACATCGAAAATTTATTTCC